CTGGATACTAGACCCTTATCAGAAACATGATTTGCAATGTTTTCTCCCATTTTGTAGGTTGTCCAGGGGTTTTGTTGTACTTAGCTGGAGGAGTAGAGAAAAAAATACCCGCCTCGTCTTCCCAGAAGTAGAGGTCTTCCAAACTGATTTTTATTCACTTTGAAAGGGCCAAAGTGTGGTTCATTGCTGAAAACTCAAAGATTATTTTAAAGTCATTGTGGGAGAGAAATCTTATTCTAGTTGTTCAGTTTCTTTTGTTGTTTCAAATTAAATTATTTAAAAACCAATTTAGAGGAAAGATTTTATGTTAACTTTTTCTATGCATTTTTATGACTTACCTCCCTGTGTGTTCAGTACAGTGGCCTATGTGCTATATGCCAAGAGACAGGTCCCTTCAGCCCTCTGGGTAGCCATCAGGGCCCGAGACAATGCAAACCTGTGTTCTGGCCAGATATTACTGCTTGTGAGTGCGCCATAAGGTGAAAAGGGTGAGGAGCCCTGGTTAAGAAAACACAAGAGCAGGAGAGTAAAGAGTTCCCATATGTGGTATGTTTTTAAGCTCTGCTGTCAGAGCAGTAGAAGTAGGTATAGGAATGAGTGAACATTTCTCATTTCTAGGCTAAATAGATGGGTCTTTAATCTTTTCCTACTAAACAGTGAGTAATTCAGAGTTAATCACAAGAAATCAAGAATTTCGTGGTAACTCCTATGTTCACCCAAGTCACCTTCCACTGAGTTCTTCAAAAACTGATAGATACCTTCTTCCCCGGTACAGATTATTTTTTATTTCTTTACTTCTGATTCTACTTCTCTTACAAACTCAAATACCAATGTATAGCCGTGGCTAGAAATATCAGAATTATTTTGAACTTCGAATACTTCCTTTGTCCCATAGGTGCCTGGGTGTGTCTTACCGGCTGCCCAGCGTTGCCAGACTGCGCCGTGATGGATTATGCGTCTGATGCAACCCCCGGCGGCATTTGTTCAGTTTCCACCACAGGGCGCTTGTCCGCTCTCAAGCACCCTCTCTGGGTTTCCGTTCTGCAGCACCGCAGGCTGATTAAGGAACACTTTCCAAACCACTCTCTCCCTTTGTTAGTCTCCTGCACTCTTTCATTGCCTATATTATCCTCTCATTTCACTCAATTTTCAGTCTAATTTCAAATTTCTTTAGCTTGCTGAAATCCTGTAGACTCCCTCCACTCAGTCTTTTCTAGCCTTATTTTTTTAATTCACCTTACTTTTATTATCTCAACACAAACTAGTCATTTTCTTTTTCCTTTAGTCTTTACTTTTCCTGAATTTTTGTTAATAGCCTTGATCTTTAGCAGTCAAACTCATTACAGACTAGGTACTCTTCATTTTTTTCAGTATTTAATTCTGTTTCTTATGTCAAAGGAAGAAATGTATGTGAAAGCCTTTTACAAACCAGAAAGCACTATACACTCGTATAACTTATTGAGATTAACAAAGGACCACTGTGCCTCTTTTCACGCTTTCTGCTCCTTCTGAGCCAAAAGAACTTCTCCATAGAGGAGGGGAATATTGAAGAAAAATAAAGCAATGGAGTTGTCTCTTAGCAACCGAGTCCGTGCCTTATAAATCTTACTTTAGATTACTGCTGCTCAAAATCACTTGCTTTTCTTACTAGCTTAGTACAAATAATGTTATTAAATTATAGGAAAACAAAGGAAAAAATCTACTGAATGAGTCACTCAATTCATCGACTGTGCTCTATCTTTGCATAACGCTATTTATATAGTTAGGTTGTGTCTTTCTCTTGATTCAAATTGTAAAACTTTTCTTTCTTTCTTTCTTTTTTTTTTTTTTTTTTGCAACTTGAGTTATAAACTATGCCAAAGCTAATTACTATTTTATACATTTCTAGGTTACCCGGCTCCCAAACAAAGTATCCTATAGCTGGTATATAATGTATGCTGTGTTAAATCAGCTTGCACATAGCTTAAAGAAAAGAAGGTGTAGAAAAACTCAAATCAAATTGGGGTCTGATTATTTGTATTACAAAAATAACTCATTATGAGGATTCTTCAGTTAGCAGATTTTCACTGAGCAAATATTTTTGAGTGCCTCCTGTGCTAGATAATGGAAGGGATAAAGATACCCTGAGTGTGTGTGTGTGTGTGTGTGTGTGTGTAAATAACCTTGGGCTTGCCAGATAATAAACTAGGTAAGACTTGCACACAAATAAGGCAGAACAACGATAAATGCCTTGTGAGTGGTAAGCCAAGCACTGTAGAAGTTCAGAGGACAGGAAGGTCACTCCAGCTGGGTGAACTATTATGATTACGTGGACAAGATGACATGTTAGAGAACCCAAGACTAACAGATTTTGTCAAGTTTAGTAATTACGGCAAGATTGAAGAGGTAGGTTAGATGTCAGTGTCTTCAGCACTAGAGCAAGCAGTTTAAATTTTAGCCAGTAAGCAACGGGGAGCCACTGACTTCTTTTTCAAAGTCTTGTCTAGGAAAATTTATCTCACAAGAATGTGTAGTTTTAATTTTTTTAAAAAATTGGTTCATTTGTAGTCCTTTAGGCTCCATACTTTTGTATAAAACAGATGTGTTTATAAATTAGTCAATTACAGAATTGATTCATTTCTAGTCTCTTTAAAAAGGTATGCAAAAAACTATTTTCAGATGAAATTAAATCTGGTAAGATAAGCTGCTCTGTTAAGATATAAGCATTATATAAAGTGGGGCAAAAACACTGCTATTCATTCTTTCTAAAATCACTTTTAGGGAGTTTTGTGTCGATTGGTCAGCCAGGCTGCTGTCTCACTTCTTCCATTAAATTGGTGCAGAAATCCTCCATGTTCTTTTTTTCTCCCTACTTGGATAGAATGAATATCTTTGGTGAAAAGAGCTTCTTATCTATAGCCCTCTTAAATTCGTTCTCAATTTTGCCAGATAGTTGTATACGTGTGCAAAAGGCTCTGTTTCCCTGCCTCCCCCTTCAGGGGAAAAACGAACGGTGGGAGGAAGGCCTGCCGGCCTGCTGTCAAGGCGCTGCTGGTACCAAGACGCAGTGTCGCGCGAATACTCTGAAAATGTTGATAATTGATAGAGAAATGAATGTTTTACCCTTTGTTAGTGGAAATGCCATGCTTTAATAACAAAGACTATATCATCAAGTTGGCTATTGTTTTTTCCATGCATAGTATGCTTCAGGGAATTTAGAGCATAAAATGCTTCCCACCTGCTACTATTAAGGAAGTAACACTTCCTACATATTTACCTCACAGCGAAATCGTGTTTTTAAAACAGCACCACTAGAGAAGCAACGTGTTGCTGTGAGCCGCTTTGGATACTAGACAGTCGATAATACTAATCCTGGTTTAGTGACTCACTTGCTGTGTTGCTAGGCAAGTCAGTAATCTTTTTTTGTACCTCAGTTTCCCGATGAGGCTGTCTGCGGCTGCCCCAGCCAAAAGAAACTGCCATGTCAACAACATCCAACTGCCGGGGACTTGGGAACATGCAAATAAAAGCTAGTATGGAAAAGAAGAATAAGATTGTGGGCTGCTAAACAGCACCCTGTTTGCTTCTTCCCCCACTGCAGTGACCACCCCAAGTCCTCCCCCGAGTTCAGAGTCGCAGGTGCGGGGGCGGGGGGGTGTCTAGGAAGAAGTCATGGTTTCCACGCTGGAGATCTGGTCATGTCTCGAGTCAATTCCAGCCTGGAGAACCTAGAAAAGAGCATATTTGCTTCTAATCTTGGTCTTTGGTGCTTTGTGGACCTCTTCTAAGACATTCCCAGTGTCTCTTTTGAGAAGGCTCAGGCAGTTGTGTTTCTGAGCTTTTGGAAGGGTAGATTCTGGCTCTAGGACTACACACTGAGTCCTGATCTCAGACAATGTTTGTCTTCAGATGAAAAAAAAATTTTTTTTTAACTGAGTGGAATTTCATTCCATGATGAATTCATGGTAAAGATGTAATAATAACAAATGACATAGTTGTTTTTGAAAATGTATTTTGGGTTTCACAGCAAGACTTTTCTTTCTCTGCTTCTGACTTAAACATGAAGAAAAAAACAGAATAATCCTTAAAAGCAGCAGTTCATGCCATTAATTGAAAGCGTTTTTTTTATTTGAAGTTGGGACTGAAACTGATTAGCTCCTCTCAAGGCTTAAAGGTTAGGAGCACAATTTTAGAAATGAGAGATTATTTGGAATGTTTTCCCTCTTTTGCTATACCTTTTAGGTGCCAGATAGAGCTTGCTGTGTTGACTTGAATCAAACTGAAGCATGTCCAGTGAAAAATAATCACCTCTGGCTTGAGAACCAGACTGTAGTTCATTCAGAAACCAAAATGATCCCAGCCCAGTGTTAATGTACGAACACTCTCCAACCCGCCTTGGCTGGAGCCTGCTGTTGTAGAACCAGACTATAAAACATGAGGGCTGGGGACTCTCCACAGTGTGGGAATCTGCTGGTATTTCAGCAAATCAAATCCACGATGAATCCTAGTGGACAGACTGTGTGGTCTAGTTCAGGCTGCAACATCAGCACGAATAGTGGAAGGCCAAGTTTAGGAAAGAGGAAAACCACAAGACTGAGCGGAGAGGAAAGGGTTGCTTGGGTAGCCGCAATGGCACATTTTAGACATTTGAGAATCATTGCTTCTTTCTTTCTCCTCCTCTGCATCTTTTCCACAAAAGGATTATGGGAGATAAAAGGAGGAGGGAAGCCTTAACTCAAAAAGGGGGGAAAAGTACATAAAATGATCATCTGTACTGCCTGGAGCTTCTTAACTTTGTGTGTGCACCCCAACTTAACCAAAACATTTCCCAAGATTCCTCATCTTTTAATGATGCTGTATAATCCAAAAGATTATGACTATGTGTGGCCCATTTGCCTCCTGTAATTCTGTAAGAACAGGATAGGAAGACTTAGGGAATACTTGTACTCCATTTCTGTTTTCAGTGTTATAAATTTTCTTCTATTAAAAGCATATCTAAAACGCTTATTTTTTTTTTATAGGTAACAGTATGACTAAATACATTGAGAAGCTAGAAGAGATCAAAAGAAGTGAGTAACAGTATTGATGGGTTGGCATAATGGAACCCTGTAGTAGCTCTGTAAGTTAGTTATTCACAACCCCAACCATACTCTGCTGCCGACACACACACGGAGACCTATGGGAGTCTGCTGAGCCTGGCATGTGCCTAGAAAGATGCAGGGAACCCTGTACCATCCTGGTTCGCTGCTAGGACTGCAGCTTGTGGGTCAGGTTGTGCCTGGCTCAGCCCCCAGGGGAGATGTTAATGTTGGAACATAGAAAGAGCGGCAAGAACCTGAGCTTCTGGTCTCATTGTGCCCTGGTCTTCGTGGCCTTTTTCAAGGTACTTACTATTTTTAGTTTTCTTATTTTCTCCATAGCAGAGGTAGGAGTAATAATCTCTCTTTTATTTTATAACGTTCTTTTGAGTATAAATTAAACAGTATTCATGAAAGACTTAGAGATGTGAGAAAGCTTATTCTTAAAGTGACATTATGCATTATAAATTCATGGCAGTCTGCCTTCTTTTAATTAAAAATCATACTTCATTTACAGTCTTTTTAAAAACTAATCTTCTGCAAAGATATGCCACTAGTCATTGAGTGTATTGCTCTTGCACAAAATCATAATTTTTCAATCTGTGTCCAAAACAGATGTAAAATGTACACATCAAGGCCAGAATTAAAGAAGAAGCAGAAATATCTGTTTTCTAAGATGGATTTGCTTATATCTTCAGTTGGAGAATGCAGTGCTAGGGGAGTATTAGCTAATGGTAATAAAGAGGTACTTAGATAACAGTTCAGAATTTGGCTCTGGTAATCTTCTGGTAAACATCTTCCAGGAAGAGATTACTACAAACCCAGAAGTCATGAGAACGTTTGTTTATACACAAAAGGCCTTATACTTTAAATGATAATGTTTCTGTTCCTTTGACTTGCTGAGAAACCCCAGATAACAGATGTGGACTCTGGGGCAGCTTTCTGCTGACTCTGCTGTTTGCCTCATTGACCTCAAAGTGCGAAGGCTATAGCCATTTCTTTTTTAATGTGTAATGTCACAGTAGCCTTTTCTTCTTATATATTCCATTTTATACATTGTATTGCATTTTACAGGATATGGTTTAAGTATATTTTAAAATTTTAAACCATGAAAAGAAAGGCTTGTTTACTCACCTAGGCTGCATTGTTGTTCCCATTCATCCGTGGCAGGAAAATGCAGCTGGCCTGCTTCAGGTTCGGTCTGTGGTCTCTTTCACCTCCTATCCATTGGTAGCTCAGTGTGGAAGCTCATGTGCCCACAGCAAAATTTGTCCCACAGAAGTGTCTCATTCCACCCAGGTTGCTGAAACCTGTTTAAAACATTTCTTAAACACACAATGTGGTTTCTTTAATATCTAAACTTTAAATGGCGCTTATGTCCCCAAAGAAATACTTGTGGAATAGAGTCCTTGAAAACGCTTTCCTCTTTAGAAGCTCTGGGCTTCCTTTCAGACAGACAGGAGGTCCCTCTCACCTGGTTTCACACACTTTGTGCTGGTTCCCCGACCACAATTGCTTCAGATTCTGGTTTGAGATCTACCTTTTGGAAGCTATTTCCTTCTCTTTTCCCATTTTCTGTTGTAGGTTTTCTTTTGGGTCAAAGGGAGGAGAATATTGCCTTGTTTCGTGACACTCTAGACTCATCACTTTCCTCGGATTACCTTAGATGCCATGTCTTTTCTGTGAAATCACAAACCTCGTTCTGTTCCTTCCTTTGATTTGTCTTCCACTGTGAGCCCAACTTCCCTTTGCTAATAACTTGTTTAAACAGAACCCTGAAATCGCAGCATTCCTTTGTAACCTGAATATTCTTTCAACTCTGCCTGGGGAAAATAGACACTCTGTGTCTATTGACCGTTTACAAAGCCTATTCTTGGCTTCTGGTGGTTAGATGACACTAGTTGGACCCAGTGTGAAACATCCTAGATAGTTAGGTCTCTGTCCTTCCAGTAACTCGAGAGAGACAGACTTAGACTCCAGACTTACTGGAGAAGCAAAACTTGATAGCATATCTGAAACTAGGGGTGATTGTCTCCATCGCGGAGTCTGGGGGAAGCTACCGTAGCAGAAGCTCCATTCTTAAAGCTCTGTTCGCCCTTGCAAGGACAGGCTGACAGAGCCTTCCAAATCGTCCTTTTCTATAAACTTTAAAACTTACTGTCAAACGTCTAGTTTGATCTTTTTTATCTCTGAGTAATAATGTCAGAAAGTCCTAGCGATGGCTGTCCTTCTAAACCAGAACCAGGTATGTAGTAGAGTTGAGGCTCAAATGTGCAGCGGGTTTCTGGTCCTTGTGAGAGGACACTAGAAATGTCAATCATTAGAATATAGCAGAGCTGGGTTTTTGTTTGAGGTAATTGCTACTTAGTTAAAGGGGGATTTAATGTGTACATTTTGTACTTAGAATGTGAAGAATTGCAAAAGTATTTCAAACTATGTAACTATACCAAAGGAATATCAGTGGATAAATGGCACGGTGCAAACTGCTTGAAAGCTATTGACTGTTTTCATTGGTTGATTTATTGCCATTTTGATTTAAATAAATGACTTTTGGTGGCAATTGAGGGGAATACTTTAGTTATTCAGTTGCACTTTTTATAGCTTGTGCTCAGCCTGTTCGGGTCTGCATCCTGGTGGGTTTTAGAAGCTCCTTTGCATCTAGGTTTGTTTCCTTGTTCCTAAGAATTTTCTGAGAATAAGCTGTTCAAAGAATTTTCTTAGAATAAGCTGTTCTTAGAATTTTCTAGAAGTAATGGTCTCTTATTAGCCAAATTGCTCTCTTTAAGACATTTTAGAACAAAGAAGCTTTAATTCCCTGTAAGAAAGAGTCTTGATGTATTTACAAAGGCTAGTTTTTAAGGTAATATCATTTCCTGACTCTGAGTCATAAGGTGTTTGGTAAATCAAGCAAACATTGTCCTCCCAAAGTAACTATCCGGTCTGTGCTGGTTTTTAAGGAAAATTCGTGGAAATGATTAGAACACCAGGTAAACAGTCTTAAATACCTTAATCCTTTCCTTTGTTGCTAGGAGCCTTGGCTTATGAGACATTTATGCTGTGAAGTTCATAGTAATTATCCAGCCCACCTATAGTAATTCTGAAATAATGAAATAGTCTTTCAGGAGTCATGGGCTCCAGTATAAAAACCTACAAGGGGAGTAAAGGGTGAGAGTGGGAGGGAGTTTAATGCTGAAAACCTCAGAATTGGCAGCCATTTTCAGAAAAGTTTAAGGAAGATAACTTTTAACATGCCTCTATGGGACAGAGACTAGATAAAGTGAGATTGGCTAAACTTTTAAAAAAGAGTTTATTGTGATATGAAGAATTAGTAACACAAACAATTGCAGAAATCCCCTCATTGGAGGAATGATGTCTCAGAACTGTAAAGATAGCACAGAATAAATATTGATGTTTTAGGTTGATTTCCATTTTTTTAATTGTAAAAACACATACCAGAAAATGTATTCCCTTCACCATTTTAAGCGTACAGTTCGGTTATGTTAAGTGTATTCCCATTGTTGTACAATAGATCACCAGAGCTTTTTCACCTTGCAAAACTGAGTAGGTTGCTTTTTATTGGAGTGAAGTTGAAGAGAGACCGACACAAAAGATTACCATGACCAGGCATAGCTTTGTGCTCAGCATTGTGCCTGAGGGGAAAAGTGTTGTCCTGTCTCTAGCATAGTCCATCACCTCAGGAATATAATCGTTCTCATTTCAAGGCAGGGTTAGAGTAGTAGGGTGTCAATGTCTTATCAGCCGGGGCCACCCAGCTTCTGGGTCTCTGTCCTTGTTTTAAAAATGCAGACATTTTTCTCTGCTTTGTTTTGAAAAGGATTTAGAGTAGCTTACAAAAATGCAGTACAATATGGCCAAAGTAGAGAGAGCATAGTAAAAGGAAAATGGTAGACTCATAAAAGACAGGCAAGGGATAAAGTCTCTAGACACAAAGGGGTGGTCTGTATATTCACCTGTAGGCCTTTTACTGGCCAAAGCAAAGCGGGGAAATGAAGAGCAGATATAATACTGGCCACTTTTAATCTTGAGGATCTCATGAGGATCAAATGAGGTAACGCATGTAAAAGCATATAAATAACTTGAAAAATATACCACATAACTTGATGACTAGAAAGAAGGAATACCTCTAAGAAAGCAAAATAAACCTAGAAAAATATTTGTCCCATCCTGCTTTTCAGATTATAGATACAAAAAAGATGAACTTTTCAAGAGACTCAAAGTTACGACGTTTGCCCAGCTGGTAAGTTTAATGATCTTCCTTTGGAGTAAGACTCTAATTTGTGCTGCTTTATGTGGGCCCCTCTGAATTTGGCCCTAGGTGATACTTGCAGAGGGTGTTCTCCTGGTCCTTTATATTTCACCTGTGGGAAAATTAATTGGTGTAAGGTAAGTGTGTTCATTCGAGGATGGTGTGAAATTTTTCTCTTTCCTTTGATAAGAATTTTACAAAGTAAAATGTCCATTCTACTTTTAAATCATCACATTTGTGGTTTAGGTTTTTATTTTCTTGTTCATTTAATTTAATATTTAGAATCTCGAGTTCTGGACTCTGGGTTGCTTGGACATTTTTCTGTGTGTAAACCAGACAATATCCCTTCTATGACTGAGTTCTTCTGCCAAGTCTTTCATGGGCTATTTTGCTATTTTCTTCTTTCATTGAAAGTTATGGACCAAGTGTCTCTCTGGCCCCCAAACAAGGGTTCCATTCGTGTAATTCAAGATGAATCTTGGGTCTTAGGAGCTAAGTTGTAAAAAGTGCTTTAAAAACTATATGTAGGTATACAGTGTTATAATCAATATACTTGTAATTACACTTATATCTTCCTTGCATGAAGAATTGCTGATACAATTCTCTTATTGTAAGCATTACATTTTCAAGAAATAACATGTTATGTTGGGTCTAGAATATATATGGATGCAGTTTTAGACTCTTGTGTTTCTTGTCCTAAATTATCCCTTTGGCCTTTCAAGTTTATTGTGTAATGTTTTAAATGACTCTTTTCTTCTGGAATGATCATCTGCAGTGTAATTACCACTCCCAAAGTAAGGAGACCTGAGATTTAGTCTCTAGTTGGGGACACTGCCAATTTCTTAAAACAAGAGATCTTTGATGTTCCCTGTCTTTTGTAAAAAGACAGCCTTGCCTCTGTTTAAACACAAACGAACATACACACATCTACACATTTCATTCTTTTTTCTCTCAGGTCATCCAAGTTGCTTCTTTATCTGATCAAACACTGGAAGTGACAGCGGAGGAGATTCAAAGGCTGGAAGGTAATGAGAATTAAGGATGCGGAGCAGTAGACTGACCGTTTGGCTGCAGTACGGGCCCTCTGCTGCTCTGTTTCAGGGCGCTTGGGACTTGGGTGTCTCTATTTGTAATTAGATTGTTACTCTCTGAGAAATGCTCTCCTGTGCTTTAATTGTTAATTCCTATTTCTTTTAAAATGCCATCTGGGTTTCTGGCTCTAGCGTTTGTAGTTTTAAGTGTTTTAGATGTGTTTAATATACTAATTACTTTTTTTTTCCAACAAATATTTTTAGTGCTTTCTATGTATGTCCTGGCCACAGAATTAGGTGCTATGAAACTACAGTGATGAATAAAACATAGCTCTGCATACATGGAGTTTGTTGTCACATGTGTGCACGTGCACATGTATTTGTGTGTTGGGTGAGGAGAACGATAACAGAAACCCAAAACCACTAACGTGGCAGAAATCCATAATGGAAGACTGAAAGGAAGCCATCATTTGTTGTATATACTAGGTACTTCATACAAGTTTTCTTATTTAATTTTCTCACAAATTCGAGAAGGAAGCGACACTTTGCCGATGAGAAGCCCAAGCCCAGGGGTTCATTGACTTGCCGAACATAAAACAGCCAGTAAGGAATGGACCTAGAATACAACTCTCTGTGTCTCCCGTAGCAACCAGTGTCTTTGCTGTGGGGGTTCCCAGGGAGGGAAGGTGTTTTCCAGTCAGAAAACAGGTAGGCTTTCATAAAGCTTTCAAACCAGACTCTGCGGGCGAGGCATTGGCTGGCCGAGGAGCAGGCAGAGGCACGGAGAGGAACAGGCCCCCGGCGTGCCTGGGGAGTCACGTAATCCAGTCGGTCCGGCTGTGCACTGAGGGGGGAATAGGTGCCTGGTAGGAGATAAGGCCAGAAAGATACGTAGGCTCCAGATTTCTCTCCTTAGATACCGAGTCTTTAAAATAAGCCCTCTTAGTTGTAGTCTCGTGAAAGGAATACACAGAGTTAAGGTCTTTATTTTATCCTGAAGCACTCACTCATCAATGTGTGGCTGTTTATTGAAGGGGAATGTGTTTTGTTAAGGTTGATATAGGCCAGTAATTTGACTTCTGATTTCAAGACAAGTTTCTCAGGAAGTCTGAACACTGGGTTTGTGCAACTCAACTGTCATTTCCCTGGGCTTGTTTTTGTTAGCAAGGATAAAGAGAATCTGAAAAAGCCAGGAATTTATCTTTGACAGATGCCTCTCACACAGCAGAGAAAGAAGGGCTCTTTGTAACAGAGATAATTGAGTCTCCTCATACAAATACTCCCAATTTTAACCTGGTTATATAAGTACCTGGACTGGGTCTTTTAATTCATTATAGAGATTGCAGCACCAGGACATATAGGAACATGCAATTTTCTCTTTGGAGATAAATTTGCACAGCAAAATAGACTCTTGTAAAATAGGACACCATAATGTGTGAGTAATATTAGTGTTTTTCTAGTGCTCTACACAGAATAATAACTCACTCAGGAATGCCTGTAGAACAGATTGTATCTGTTTGCATACCGGCTATCTTTGAAGGATTACAAAATCACCTTTTATAATGTTTATTGTTTTTTCCTGACTTAAAAGTATATTTTTAGAAAATTAGAAAACTACAAAAAAATAAATAAAGAAGAAAACTAAAATAACTAATAATCCCTGTTAACATTTTGGTCTGTTCCCCCCTATCTAACTCCCACCCAAATCCATACTTTTTGTGCATAGCTTTATTATTACTCTGTTTTCAATTAACATGGCATCATGCATACTTTCCTGTGTCATTAAATAGACTTCCAAAGCTTCAGTGTAAAGGCCATGCAGTCATATCATGTCCATTTCTGGACATACCATAATTAATTAGTCTCATTGCTGGGGCATTACAGTTTGTCTAATTTTTCACTCTTACAAAGTCATGCTGCATGTAAATACATAAGTGTTTGTGCAGTTCCGATTATTTCCTGAAGATAAATCGTTGCAGATGGACAAAGGGTAAAACAATTTTGAAACATTCAGTGTTGATTCCACGTTATTTCCTGAATGGTTCTACCCTTCCGTGTTCCCGCCGCGTTTCTCCCCATCCTAGCCAATACTAAGTAATTATCATTTTTATAAATATTTGCTAGTTTGGTAGATGAAGAATGGTATGTAATGGTTTTATTTTGAATGTCTCTCATAGTGAGAGTGAGCTGTGTGTGGAGGGGGGAGTTCATTGATCATGTATGTGTATTTCTTCTTTTGAGGACATTACAGGTCCTTTCTCATTTGTTTTCTAATGGAATCTTCATCTTTTACTTATTGATTTATGAAAGCTTTATGATTATAATTATATAATAGTTTTTTGCTTTGGAAACCAACACAGCCTTGGAAATAAATGAGAAAACAATCTTTATTTGATAATTTGGAACAATTTCCAAGCTGTATTATTAAATAAAAATAAAACAACAAAACAACGTGTAGAGCAGTATGAATGGCATTCTTCTGTACATGTAAAAAGGGGAAGAAATAAAATACATGCAAAAGTATGCAGTTGTTTTATTTCTGGAAGGAGATGTAAATACGGGAAGCTGGTACCGCTGAGGGACGAGGCCTGAGGGCTATGGGTCTGGAATCAGAAGGAGGCTTTATTTCCACATTGTCTTTTTTGCATTTTTAACTTGTATACATTATTCTTTTTCAATTAAAGAGCTAGTTAATTAAAAACGACAACAACTGTGAATTAAGTATATTAACCTTTTCTCATCCATATATGTTACAGATTTTTTTTTCCTACCTTATTATTCATTCACCTTTTAATTTTCTTTGTGTTGGCTTTTGACATATATGAGGTTTGCATTTTTTACATGATTATATCTTTTAGCCTTTCTTGTTGTGTTTTGTTTTATTGTTTTAGACTCATAAATTCTATAATAAGATAAAGTATTTACCTTTATTTTCTTCTATTAGCTTACTTGTTATTTTTTTTTAATACCAATCCTTTTGTTAAATATTTTGGTATATGATATTAGGGGGTTATCTAAATTTGATTTTTCTAGATAGTTGACAGATGATTCCAACACTCTTTATTCAGTAGTTCTCCATTTATCAACTGATTTGTGATGCTACCTTTAATATATATTAGCTTTGTATATGTATTCTAGGATTTTTTTCTGCATTCTCTATTGTAGTCTGTTGTTCTGATTGTAGTTCTACGTTGCTTTGATTATTTACTTTTTCAATATATGTTACTATTTGATGAGTCAGCTTCTCCAAATTTTTATATGTATGTTTAAATTCTTTTGCTCTTTTTAAACATAAAGTAAAAATCCTTTTAAACTTTTTTTTGAAAAAGTACCATTGGGATTTGTATTAAGGCTAAAAATTAAATTAAATTTGGAAAGGATTAACATCATTTAACTTTTAGTCACCCAGTCAGGAACATGCAAAGTATTTTGCTCACTTTATTCAGGTCTTTAGTGTCTCTAAAATTTTTATATGATCTCTGAAGAACTTAGAAGTTTTTATAGGACCTTAACATTTCTTAATACGTTTATTTTCTAGGAGAATATATTGTATATCTGTAATTGTTACTGTAAATGATATCTTCATATTATTTTCTAATTGATGTATAGGAAAAATATTTTGTTAGTATTTTTAAAATCTAACCACATATTTATTTTCTTTATGGGATTTTCCTGAAGTTTCTCAGTATGTTATATTATATGCAAATTAAGACCTCATTTCTATTTCTTTTCTAGTTATACCAGTTAGAACAGCAAATTCTCATACTTTTTTGTATCAGTCTCCCTTCACACTATAAAATTTATTATATATATAAACTTTATAGTGTATAAAAGTTATTGAGGACCTCAGGGAGTTTTGGCTTATGTAAATTAAACCTGTTAATATTTAGGGCATTAAAAATTTACACTGAGAACTTAAAAAATATTTACTTACTATTTCACTTAAAAATAACAATATTAAACCCATTGCAAATAGAAATAGCATATTTTTATGCAAAATAGCTACATTGCTAAAACAAAAAAAAATTTACTGAGAATGGAACTATTTTACTTTTTTATAAGTCTTGGTGTCTACCTGAATAAAGACCTAAATAAAGTTAATAGAAGACAGCGATTCTCCTATTTTCTGCATTCAGTATTGCAGTGTGCCCTTTGGGCTGAAGCATATGAAAATCTGGCCTCACGCAGACCTGTGGTCATACAAGGGTAGAGTGTTTTAATAGCCCTCTCAGTTACTGTGGAAGTTTTTCTTTGATACGACACCAAAGCCTGACGACTGATAGTTTCCTAAAGGTTAGTTGTAATGTGGAATCTGAAATCATATCGATGAACTTTTCATACTCTGTTTCATTAAAACTCACTGGGCTTGTCTTACACTTTGAATGAACCTTTTATCCATCTATGATCGTATGCCATCATACACTGGCTGTGTGAAAATTACTGGTTCACTGAGTTATGAAGATCTTCCCAATGTTGACAAATTTCATTACACAGTATCAAAAAAAAATCACATTGATCAATTTCACCGCCTATCTTATCAGAAAAGACATTAAGTCTAGGGAAACAGTCAAGCTCCTGATGGCACAGTTTCCAAATTTATGATTTTTGTTCAAAATTTAATCATTGCAACAAATGCCGTCAGTCGTTTTCCTTCAAAGGACAAGTTCCCTTTTTCATTTAGATCATTTTTGGGGAAAATGTCTGCCAACTACACAAGTCTAGGTAACCAGAGTTTTTCTCAGCTTTTCTTCCAATTAAAAATGGTGTTCATGGCAAAAGCAGCAATAATCGCACTAATGCCTTTTCTTGAGACAACCATGGATCTTGGCTATGTAGCAAACTGGCCATGTGCAATTCCCCATTTCATTACACAGAATATTAAAAAGATGTGTACTTATGGGTGAGATTTAATAAAACTATTCATTATCACTGCATCGTCAGAGACATTTTTTAGTGGGACTGCCATATTAACTACGACTGCGGGTTGGTGAAAGCAGAATGATTACTAATGCAACTTGACGCCCCTATTGAGGCACTGGCAGTTGTATCCACCATTCTGTTTGCACCATCAGGGCAAATATCAACACAGTAACAAAGACAAAGAATATCTTAGCCTTATTATGAAAATAGTTTTCACCTGGCAGATCCCCTGAAGGGGCCCCGGGGACCCCAGTGTCCAAAGACATTTTGAGAACCCATATACTAGAATTTATAGAACAATTTATGTAAGGTAATGGGAGTTCCTTTTCTTGACCTAATTTCAGTGACGCTTCCTGACAAATACAAAGTCTACAATCGAACGTACTTATTTCTTTGTTTGCAAATTTTAGACAACGATTCTGCGACTTCAGACCCTGATGCTGAAATCACTGCCAGGACCAATGGGAAGGGGAGCCCCGGCGAGCAGTCGCCAAGCCCCGTCCAGTTCATAAATTGCGTGGGAGCAGGGGACTCCAGCCGCTCGACGCTCCAGAGGTACTCAAATCAGATTCGTGCTTTCACTGCATCTTACCTTCCTATTAGTCTAAAGACCGATTTCAGAGGCTTAATTACCTTAGAACCCGATTGGCGGCAGTGAAGTCTGACATTTTCACCTGTCTAAATGCCACCTCCTGAATCTCTTCCAAGCATTCGTGGTCAGTGAATATAAGAATCTATTGATACGACAGCATTAATTTTCACCCCTCACTTCCATTCTTCTCAGCCTTCCTGTATGCACGTTTGCGTTGGGACCTAGCTTTACAACTACTGCCTTTTGACTTAGAGAGCATGATTTTCTGCACCTTTTCTGTCTGCTGCAGCATCTAATTATCCTGACCGGAATCAGAAGAAAAACAGAGTGTCACACACAGTGCTCTGATATCAAATAGGTGCAAAGAAGAGTGAGAGCAGCCTTTGGGGTCAATTCTCCAGCTGCATGTGGCTGGTCCTTATTCCATACACTATGATGCAACATGTTCTCACAAATATGAACTGTTCATTATAAGACAGTGCTAATTTTCAGCACATACCCATCCCTTCTACTTGGTAAAATAGTTCAATTAGGGAAAGAATTGCTATCATCTATACCACTATTATTATTTTGTAACTACTTTTGTGCAAGAACTCTAAAATTTCATTCAAAACAAGATCGACTGAGACTTCCATTGAAGACAGTTTCTCCTCCTTTGGTTCAACAGATACGCACTATATAGTTATAGTGTTTATCACATTTAAATGCAAAATTTGATTTGCTGTGATGGGAGAGGAACTATACTACATGCCAGTCGGTGGTTTGGCGTATATGTCTTCATATTTGCCTAGGAAAGTAATCTTCCTCTCACAGAGACATTTCACTACTTGCCATTCTGTTCATAACATCCACTCTTCTTATTCCTTTGATTCATGCTTGAACCACATTTTGCCTATAATATTAATGTGGCAACCAATTTTAGTGATTTTTATGACCTTAGAAATAGAACTGTCTCATTTTCCTCCTAGCTTTTCCCGTGTCTGATTATATGAGTGTCTCCAAATCTAAAAGCCTCTTCAACCTCAACATTGTAACCTATAAAATGGAAGTACAGATAACTACTGAAAAAATTAAGGTTCAAATCCATATTGGACAGGTCACTGTATGAACATATGAAAACATTGTTGCTACTTTATGTTACACAGAATACACATAGAAATGTCTCTATTTTTCCTGTCCTGACAATCTTATTCCTTCTCCAAATGCCTCTGAAAGTATGGACCTGTGGGTCCCTCCCTGGGGTCAGTGAGACAGAATAGGAGTCCATAGGATCTTGTTCAGAGGCAGAACTGAGACCCTCTATCCATTTTCCTTTATCTTTGAAGTGTCTTTTGAAAAGACACTGAGCACTCTCTCACTATTCTGAAGAAATCCGTCTGACCTTTAGCCACCTGACCAGTGTCTGCTGACCTACTTTTCTACCCGCAGCGTCATCAGTGGTGTTGGGGAACTGGATCTAGACAAAGGGCTAGTGAAGAAAGCAGAGCCCAGCACCAAAGACAAACCTTATCCTGACTGCCCCTTCCTGCTGCTAGATGTGCGCGATAGAGATTCTTACCAGCAGTGCCACATTGTTGGAGGTAAGAGAGAGGCAGCTTTATACTGCCTCACTCCCAAGAACAGAGCCTGGTCTTGCAGCCCAGCAGCCTGAACCACATCCTATGGTCAGCAGTTAAGGAGGCACAGCCTGATTTGACGTGTGAACCTGAGTGCTGGCTTCTCCGTGAGGCTCTGAGACAGACTGGTGACATTCTCAGATGGCTCCGGGGCCCCGTGCTAAATGTCAGAAACAGTCAAGTGAAGCTTCATATTTTGCTCATGGTGTCCTGTTTCTCTTCTTCCACAAAACTATTGTTGATTTTGTAAATATATTTCTTTTAAACTCTTAGACTTTAAACTAACCGGGGATCGGGGCCAAGTTGTACTAGGAGAGCTACAAACTTCCTAATTTTCCTTTCTTACAGCTTACAGTTACCCAATTGCAACTCTGTCTAGAACAATGAACCCTTATTCAAATGATATTCTTGAATATGTATCCTTTGTTGCATTTTAAGGAGTTGGGTGATAGTGAGGATTATAAGAATCAAACGTATCATGAATCATGCTCCTAATGAGAAAACTCTGTGAAGGACTTTTGATAATAATTAGCTTATTAGCATATTTTAGAATTTGGATCCACAGCTGTTATTGAGTATGCTGACTGTGATGGCAGACGCTTCCAGGCCATACTGCGCTGGGCCAAAGAACATCAGGTTAAAGGTCATGACCCATTAAGAGTTAGTCCTAAGACTTCACCCCAGAAAGCTTTCCCAAGTAAAACTTACAAAGTGAATTTTCTTCCTTCTACTTTAACTTTTTTTCGTAAAATGTTAAGTTTTTTACTCATAAAAAATCAGACAAGTAGAAAATAATTTAAATATTGAAATACATAAGAAAGAGAATTGAAATCTTCAATAATCACCCATTTGAACAGTTCTTATTACATTTTTGTATATTTTATGCCAGACTGTCTTCTACATATTTTTGAATAAAGCAGAAATCATACTGTATATGTAGTTTAGTATCTTGCTTTTCCCCCACTTGATATTACAATGTATTTTCTCATAGTAACACAGCTCTTTATAAACTCCCTTTTTGATGCATTGTAAATATCTTCAGATTTACTGTAATTTACTCAACTTTTTATCTCTATTGTTCTTTTAGGTGATTCCCCCCTTGTTTTAACTATTATAAACACGGCTGCATTAGAACACATTGGACATAAAAGTTTTTCTATTTCCTTGCCTCTAACATGGAGCTTGTAATACTTACTCTCCAGGGTCGTCGTGATGATAACAGAGCTAATGGGTTATATAGTGTATAACTATGCTGTCTTGGGCCACGGTGATACTAATTTATAAAAGAAAAGAATACCAGCTTGTGTGGTTTCTACGACGGAAAGAAATCTAGTAACTGCTGGTGTGATGGGTAAAGAGAGGGGTGTCTGATGTTTCCCAGAATCCAGAAAGGTGAACTCGGACAGTTCTGTGTTCCCTGGGGGTATCTTATAGTCTAGGAGCACAGACACAGTGTGGTCGAACCTTAACTCCCCTAACTCTTAGAAAAATGCCCACGGCAAGATCATCATTCTTTACGATGACGATGAGAGGCTTGCCAGCCAGGCGGCCACCACCATGTGCGAGCGAGGATTTGAAAACCTCTTCATGCTTTCCGGAGGTGAGCGGAGCTGCGTTCTGCTTAGGACTTTAAAGACTGATGTTTGGATTCACAATCCTGCAACTGCACTTCACCTCCTTTTTGCTCAGAGTGGTCAGAATTCAGTACAGGTACACCTCAGAGATGCTGCAGAGCACCACAGCAAAGCAAGTATTACAGTAAAGCAAGTCATAATCTTTTGCTGGGGGAGGGTCTCATCTTCAATCTGCAACAACAACAAAAAAAATCTGTGAAATGCAATGAAGCGCAGCGCAATAAAATGAGGTCTGCTGGTGTTTTGGAGAGAAAACCATGCTGGCTGGAGGGAGGCAGGAGTTGTGTGAAACTTTTGTTAGCTTTATCAGCACATGTTTTAAATTCCTGAGATACTGACTTTGCATCAGGGCTCTGTAAGAAAGCCTTGATGTTAAAGACTTAAGCAGAAGGATTTCTGGTGGAATGCTTACAATCCCACATAACAAGCAACATTTTCTGGTGTAATTTACTTAATGGCAAAACAGTTAAGAAAGATTGCACGTCCTCGTGTTGGCCTCAACTTGGAGACCAAAGATTAGGAGACATGCAGGCCCTTTGTCTGATGTTGCCTTGGTCTCCCAATGTTAATGCTGCTTTTTCTGATGATCTTCCATGCCTAGGTCTGAAAGTCTTAGCTCAGAAATTTCCAGAAGGACTGATTACGGGTTCCCTGCCAGCATCTTGCCAACAAGCCCTTCCTCCTGGTTCTGCCCGGAAACGATCCAGCCCTAAAATGCCACCCCCACCAGCTGAGAATAAGTGGAGATTTACCCCAGAAGACCTAAAAAAGATAGAGTATTACCTGGAAGAGGATCAGGGTCCTGCAGACAATCCCAGTAAGATATTTTGAGATCGTGTTTTCTGTAGAGCTTGAGATTTATAGTTTTGAACATCACCTCATTATATGAAAAGTTTGATCCCTTATAATAATACATTCAGAGTCTTAAAATATTTGAGGGAGGTGGTACAGGTATGGTGCAGGGAGTGGGGGCAAGTGTTGGTGATCCCAGATTGTGGCAAAAATTAGGCATTGTGCACAGACAAAGAGAAGAGAATTTACCAAAGTGGATGTATCTCAGGCAGAGTTGAGAGGCTCCTTCTTGGAAAGTTTTCATTTCTTTCTCTTGCTCTTAGGCCCCTTTAGACCACTTCTGGCCTTTCCTTTGTCCACCAATTCCTCTTCTCGAGCCGCTAATCCCTCGTGCCCCCTTCTCTACCCAGAAGGAAGGTGGGACAGGCTGGGTTGACTAGGAACAATGAAGAAGACAGAAAAGCTGTCGGGTTTTCTTTCCTGCCTGCCCCTTCCCTCACCTTTAAGTTGATCTCAAGGATAAACAGGTTTTAGCCTTAAGTATTCAATAAATGCTGAATAGGACTTTATTAGTTTAAAAGTGGCTATAGCGTTAAAACTTCATTAGCTTAAAAGTGTACTTGGCAGATTGTCCCCGGGATCATTCCTGCAGCTCAGCTCCCTTCTTCCTTGTCCCCTCAGGCCGGCTGAGTCAAGCTAACACCTCCGGAAGAGACTCCAAGGTTCCCAGCGCCCGCAGCAGTCAGAGCCTGCCTGCTGGGGGCCCCGCCGGCCACCCGAACCCCCGCAGCCACCTGCAAGGCAAACCCTGGAAGTAAAGACTTTGTCTGTCTTAGTCAAATAAATATTTTCTCTCCTTTCGGAACCCCTGAGCAGTTCCCCAGTTGGTCATTTCCAGGAACTGCTGCAGAGGAAAGACCCGTGACATATGTGACAAGCCCTGTTCCCTCTCCTGTCCCCAGCCCCTCTCTGTGTCCAACTCGGGAAGGGCCTGTACACAAACCAGAGGCAGGACAGGCTCTAGTGTCCTCCCTATTACATTTACAAAATGTTTGTCTCTGAAACTGAGTAGGAAGAAAAAGTCTCATTTTGGGGGGCTTTAATGTTTTTTAATAAGGTCCACCTTGTTTTGGTCTGTAGCCCGTGTTGTTTTGTAAATACTTCAGTCACATCTGGTGTGTTCTTCCCAACCAGTTCTTTTTCACTCACATTCTTGGTTTTATGAAGGTTCCCCAGGTAGGCTTTGCCGCCTGAGAAGCCAGGCCTGGGGGTGCAGGTGATTCCAATTTTCACCCTCCCCAGCGGCCCCCTGGTGTGGGCCCACCGGCTGACGCGCTCTTCCCAGCACACGATACCGGTCTGTCAGAGTTTGGAGGCTGGCAAGACTCAGTAGATCAGCTCTCAGACTTCCTGAACATTCCTCCTCACCGGCTGTCTTGTGGAGCCAGCACCAGAGGTGACACGTGCCCCGCTGCGCAGAAAAGCCCCGTCTGTTGCACAGGGCCGCAGAGAGCCGCCGGAGCCCCCGGAGCTGTCCCTCCTCGGGGTGTCAGCTACGAATGTCCATTACCCAGCTCGGGTCCCTCTACCTTACATGGGCAGAAATCATGGCTGCTTGAAAACACCAGCTTCAGGTGGGCCAATGAAGACACGCAGGTGAGGACGGCTCCGCTTGCTGTCGGAGCCGACAGCCCCTTCAGCCTCACTTAAAATGCAGTATTAGTCTAACTGAGTAATTAGTGCAATTTCCTGCTTACTTTTCATTCTCATGACTGAGCTGTGATTACGAGGTTGTGATTATAGATTCTGGTTTGGGCCAGGATTTTGAATCAGCATTAATTGAATTGCCAGATGACTGACATTCATTCCATTTAATTGGGGGAACAAAAGACCTCAGGTAAGGATGAAGAACTCTGAAATCCTCAGGAAAAGGAAAAGAGCCTTGTTAATTTTTATGGTCTGTGATCTGTAGCTGTGATAAGGAACTGAGGAATAAATTGTGCTCTTTGTCATGGCAACCACCTTCTGAAAAGCCAACTGAAAATTGCCTGTCCTTAGGTGGTTACCACTGCTGGGTAAGATTTGCCGTAACGGCACTCTTTTCTCGCCACCAGAAAAAACGAAAAAGTACCACAATATTTCTAGCACGGGGGGCTGTGTTTTTAAGAGAAGTAAAGGTAATAAATATCTCATAGAGACGTATGGAAAAATAACGTTCAGATTCAGCCCAGCTCTGTTTTAGTATGTTTATTCCTCTCTACTTGATTTCCAAAGTACAACATTTTCCGATGCTTTAGAAATCAAACAGACCAGCGACATTGTTCAGATGTCAAGCCGTGCCCAGTTTTCCACAAGATTCAAGAATCTTGTATAAAATTCAGCCAATGTACACATAGCTTTAATGAGGAGCCTGTCATGTTTCCCCATAAATTTATTGCCTGAGAACTTAGTTCAGCCTTTTGCTAATGCCAAAATGCTCTGACTTTTTATTTTCTTTACAACATAAATTTTTTAAAATGCAAATTTTCCACACTCAACTTTCCCCTAGCACAGACAAGATTTTCAGCCATTTTGACACATATACATTTTTAAGGAAAAAAAAATCTTTTCTCTGTAACAAAGTTCTGGTTGTGCCATTTTCAAGTTGACTAGTCAGGAGTTTAGATTTCCCCACTCGATTCTATTTTGAGAGTAAATGGTAGGCCCCCTTTCTTCCCTTTCTGCATCGCCATCACCAAATGACACCCGAGTGTTAGAAACTACTGTATATATGTGGAAAGTCAGGTTAGCCAAACCGATTGGAATTGCTGTGCAGTTAGCTGAGCATTCTGGCGGGTTGAGTGTATTTATATATCTTTCTCCATAGTGCTTTGCCCTGTTGGTGAGGATTTCCAATAACTACTCAAAGACCTGTACTGATTCCGCACTTCGGGTGTTAAATGTCCCTCGCAGAGTTTTTACATTGCTTTGAATATTCGACCTGACTCATTTCTTCATTAGATTAATTGACCTGTGTTATTTAAGTGATCAGTGATACTTTGTGCTATTATGAACGTTGAAGATTAAAGCACATAGTTATTAATTTGTTGTTTGCCATTCATATGCTGGGATCTGCCAACTTCTCTCTTCCTCTCTGGTGATTTGGGTGAGCTATGTGAGACTGGGGTGATTTGAAAGTGTCTCTTTTTGCTGCCTCTCTCAGGAAGGCAGCGTGTTTTCTTTGTATAAATAAATCAGGAAATCGTTCCGATTAGGGCGAGGGACCTTAGTTCTCTCGTCCAGAAGGCCTGGGTTTCACGCTCAGGTGGGGACTAATTGCCACCTTAAACCATTATAGCAGGATCCTGTTGACAGTGTTTCAGGGGATGACGAGATGCCCTTGCCTTGTGACCCCTTAAATGGAACGTGCCTTATCAATGTACAGTTACAGCTCCATCTGCTTAGCAGTGACGGCCAAAGTCTAAATACTGCGTCCAGTGCTCTGAAGGAGTATGTATTTAAGAAAGAACGGCAGGGAGCACAGGGAGGGGCACGGAGGCTGGGCATGGGGAGGGAGCGGAAGCTACAGTACCCATTCGAAAACAAAAAGAACATCTTGGGCTGTAATAATGTCAGGTTTAATCTACTGAAAGGTAAGGAACGATTCAAATGACCTTAAAGTCATTTTATTTTTTACCTTGAGTGGAAAACCAGAACCAACACAATCATACTGGACTCGGTGTAAATCAGAATGAAAAGAGAACAAATAATGTTCATTAGTTGCTGAGGGATTTTTCCTATGGTGCTGTTGAGACCAAAAAATTCTTAAGACTTGAGACTACTCACCAGAACACAGAACAAAACAAAAACCGCCTTTTCTCTAATTCCCTTATGGAATGTAAGTGAAATCAGAGTCCTCGTCTAGGAAGAAATATGTAGGTAATTTTTCTTGTTTGATTTTGGTTTCTGTCATGTTATATAGGGGTTATAGATTCTGTCTTTTATGTTATCTGACTTTTTTAAGAGGGATAATTAATTTTTGTCCACCTGGATTTAAATCCACAGCTCCCTTCTTGCTCTACTCTGAAGGTAATCATTCAGAACTTTCCTTTCCCTGCTTCCGAAATGTTCTCAGTGTCATTAATGTGCCTTTATTTTCTTCACAATTCTTTCTAAGAATTAACTCCCATAATACTTTTCTATTTTTTTCCCAAGAAACATAAGAAACATGGATTCTATGGTAATTCATCAGTTTAATTATGTGAGCATGATGACATGCTTACTTGCAGTTCAATTACTTTTTTGATTAACAAATATATTTTCCCTGTAAAAACAGTAAATAAGACACGCTGTGCTTCCGAAGTGTTCAGAATGCATTCGCTAGTAACACTTTCCCACAATCGTAGTAATTACTGAAATTGTCTATTGTGGTGTTCTTAAATTGGTACACAAGTCAATTACAGTGTAAGATATGTAACAAATTTCTCCGCGTTGAATTATGACAGAGCAGGATTCAGTGCATGGCTTTACGTGTGTTTACAAAATGATGCTGGTCACACCAGGGTCGCCTGCCCCTGGAGGGAGGTCTCTCCGATGCTGAGCCTCGTTGTTCCAAATGCAGGCGCAGACTCCTTTCGCCTGCGTGGCGTCCTGGGGCCCCTGGTAAAGTGTGGGGCAGACAGAGGTCACTTACCAAATGCTCTCACCTGATGGGCTACATCTTTTTAACTATTTGAAATTTTATTTTGACTTTAAGCTCCTAGAGGGTGAAAATCACCAACGATATGACAGTGGCCCGTAATAAGGCTGTGTGACTAAATGAACTGAACCTGTCGAAACTGAGGTCTGGGATGTCATGCCCATCGCCGTGGCTCCGCGCTGGTTCGCCATTCTGGACGCCTGGAAAGCTCTTTCTTTTATCCCCTTGCGCTCCGCCCTGCTCTTGCGGGAGAGGCCTCCACCGCGCTGCGGTGTCCAGGTCAGCGCTGCAGGCGGCGCCGGGAGCTGCTGGGGCCTCGTGGGGGCCCTGGCCGTCCGCAGTCCGCCAGGCCTGTGTTCACGCGTCCCGTGGGGCTGAAAGGAGCCTTCAGAATTCACCAAGTACAGCTTGTGCTCCGTCCCCACCTGAGAGTGGGTGGTTGTCTCTTTTCTTTCCAGTCCTGAAGATTTCCCGGTAACAACACTGGCAAGCGTTTGTAGAGCGCTTCCTGGGTGCTGGGCGGTGTGTCCAGATTCTCGGCTTTATGTTCTGCCTCATGAGGCGGGTGCCCTTGTTTTCAGGGGAGGAGACCGAGGGTCGAGTGGAGATGAAGCACCTGGCCCAGGGCCCCTCAGCTACAAGGCTGAGAGGCCGGGATCCAGCTCGAGGACTGTGGCTCCGCGGCGAGGTCCATCGGCCCCTCCGCTCCGTTGCGCCCACGCGGGGCGCGCGCAGCCGCGCTGAGCCTCGGCGGCGCCTTCAGTTCACCCACGGAAATGTGATTGGCCTGGCTGTCGCCGGCCTCCTCGTCACCCGGGATTTCAGGGACTGAACCGTCTGCTCCCGGGACTATGTAATGCCGCACCTCTGCGGTCCGTGTCTGGGGACCTGTCTCGAAGACGGGTGTCCCAAGGCGCCTGGGGTTGGGTTGGTTTCTCAGCGAACTCCTACGGAGGTATCACTTAAGAATGAGTTACAGACTTTTCATTAGATCGTAGGAAAAAAGTAGGCTGTTTTCCCCAAGAGGTTGAACTATTCATTCAATAAACCATACTGATATGATTTGTGTCTGGTCTTTTCTCTCCTTTGTGGTGATGTTTCTGATTTAGGCTGAGGCAGAAATTGCGTGAATTGGCCCAGGGCCTCCGGCCGGGGAGGGAGGAGGTCGGCGACCCCCTGTGCCTCGTGGGCGTTCGCAGCGGTCGGTTCCGCTGCGCTCGCCTGAAACGCAGCCGAGCGCCGCCGCTGCGGTCAGGCAGAGGGCTTTTAATTTTCTCCGTTTGGCGAGAAACACTCGGCAGCCTCGGTCCCTGGGGCTGTTAGAGGATGCTCACAGTTTGAGTTCCCAATTTAATGCGGATCCTGAAAGCTTTGGGGAGAATTCCTTACCCTTTTGGCAGCTTTTCCAGAGTTGTCGGGAGCTCTGTGCTTTTTTTCTCGGAGCTCTTCCTTCATCCGGCCAATTTGACTGTTGTAGTTGTCATACCAGTTTCCTGAAAGTAGCATCTGGGTCTTTCGGGGTTCACAGAGTGATGTTTCTGTCTTTAAAGTCCCCAGAGCGAGAGTCGCCCACATCTTCGAATCCACCTAGTCCCACTCACCCTTGCACAACAGTTGCTGAGATGATGGATAGCCCTGCACTGGATGAGGGACCAGTGAGGTCATAGCTGGACTGTATTCAACGACATTTCAATTTTAACTTCAGGCCAAAGCCAGAAAGCTAGACGTGGAAGGGACCACCCGAAG